TGTTTTAAACATATAAGAAAAAGGATAGAAGGAAACAGTTAAGTATCCACTGACTTAAATAAGAACGAGAAGAATGGGACATTGAAATATCTCTATGGACTCAAATGTGTTAAGTATACCTCAGGAGGAAATGATCCAAAAACAAAACTCCAAATAGTTCCATTTACTTTGATTGAGATATAACACCTCAAATATTTACACGACAATTTACCAAACTGTGAGATTATAGCTAATTTTACTGGAGGCAGTCAGAGCTTTGCTGCTGCCAGGATGGGGAGAAGAGCATATCTGTCTGTGGTATGCATTCAGCCAGCTGTGAAGCATTTTAGGAAAGTGATCCAGTGGTTACTCACTGCCCCTCCCCAGAGCAAAGAAACTGGGGCACTGACTGAGTGGGAGGAGAGGTGTGTATACAGATAATCTGGATCCACTAATGCTGGGAGGCAAACTGCAGTTAAACCAAAGCACATGCGCTGTGCTGGTAGGCTTATTTATCACACAAGATGTTGATGCACAGACTGAAAAGCAGAACTGCATTTTAAGGAAAAAGCTAAAGGATCAGGATGAACTATAAGGCTTCATGAATGCACTCCAATGGATGCAAGCACTGCAATAATTAAAGCAGGATTCACTGGATTTATTAAGAGTTCCTCTGATTCTAATAGTCAATGATTCATTCTAGTTGTATTCTTAACATATAAATTCCTGTAATTGGTTTGCTAATAAAGCAAACATTTTATTGATTTCTCTAACTACATTTTGCTGTGCAAATACAGAGAACCTTCCACAGGCAACTGTAGTTGGTCCATATCTTCATATATCATATCTCAGAGTCTGCGCTTTACACACCACACCTATGGTTGGCTCTCAGCAGCATGGCTTTTCGTGCTCTCGCTACTTAATAAACTCTATGTGGCTGATCATCCTCTGCCAGGGGTAAAAAATTATTTTGCCTAACTATCAAGATTTTATTTCTTCCAGCTCACAACAGATGATGCAAGACATTCTTTTATTTCTACAAAGAGGAATCCCTACATTATATCCAAAGAAACTATTTCATTGCATTTTGTTTATTTTTGGATAAAGAGCCCAACGAAAAAGGTACTTAGATCTTTATATAGTTTTAAATAGTTTTCGTTTTCATCTATTCAAATATGATGTAAATGTTTCCTGGTATTGTCATTAAAACATTTTCTCTGTTTCAATTAAATATTTCAACCTTTTAGTTAGCATATTCATTATATTCAGGTATGGATTGTCGTGGCATTACAAGGCAATTATGTAGGTTCTCTTTGTATTTATTTTATACCAAACCACTGTGAATTTAAATCTACTTTGACCCCTGAGCAGCGGTAACAAAGTGGCAAATTGAAGAAATAAAGCGAAATTTATTAATGTCTTGGTGACTAGTCAATGCACAACAAAAAAAGTGGAGGTGAAAAGAAAAAAAAAACATCTCTGAGCTCATGGAGAGCTGCAGAAAAAAAAGTTGCATCTTGGGGATTTAAATGCTATTATGGTTGTTTATCAGAGACAGCAATCACACGGAAGGAAGTTCAGAACATTAGAAAAAAAAACTACTGCATCTGTCAGTGATTTTTTATTGAAGGATCACCAAACCTACCAGGAGTTTAAATTGGTGCTTGGTTACAGTAAACAACTCCAAAGCAGCACACAGCAGTACAAAGTAAAACCAACGAGCTTATTAACTAACCTCCGTAAGCAGCACAGCCAGCATGTCCTGTCTCTGGAAGCGGATGGCCAGGTGGACCAGTGTGAAGCCGTCATCAAAAGCTGAGGGTCGGTTTAACAGTCGCACTTCGTCTGACGTCAGCTGCCTTGCTATGTCTCCTCCGGATGTCTTATAAGCCTCCACAGCTGCCAGGTCTCCTTCTACAACACCTTTCAGACAAACCAGTGGAAGAATAAAAAAAAGGTCATTCTACTACCATGCATAAAAAGGGACTCCTGTGTAGAAAGAGAAAACTATTTTATCACAAAACTGATACCAAGAAAAAACTCTCCAGAGCACATGCAGAGAGGGCAGACTGTACTCCAACAAAATGCAGAAAAATATTAGAACTGACACAGTGCTCTGTCTACAGCAGCTTCTACAGCTCTTAGATTGGACTCTTTTGAAGTACAGGAAGCACAATAATTAAAGGGGTAAACTATAATATGCTGTTTTTTGGTTCCTTTAGATCTGCAAAGGAAGTTTATGATGCATTAGATGAGACAGGTGCAGACTGTAGCCTCTGCTCTTTCATTCTGAGCACAAATAGTAAAAGCCTTTTTATAGAAAGATAGCACAGAAAACACACACAGCATCATATTTTCCCTTTAAAAATTATCTCTAAACATTTCAATAGGCCACACTGATGTTTACTACCGCAGTTTTTCTATTATGAGATCAGGTGCTTGATCTCATAATAAAATGTAATTAAAGTATACCGTACTTTGTTTTTAGATTTTAATATGAGACAGAAATGGTCAATAGGAACACAGACTGTCTATAAAGGTAAAGTGTTCCTGGAGCAGGACTGTGATAGTTCATTATTATGAAGAAATAAAAAGTTCAGCCCTCACAGATTAAAGTAAGTCATTTTTATTACGGTAGGTAAATTAACGCTGCGATTCTGATAAAATTTGGTTTCCTTTCCGATATGGTAACTATGTTGCAGCTTTGAGAATTGTCCGACACCGATATTGATAAGATACAAAGATACAATATTAGCACTAACCATACCAGCTTTTTTTTTAACTTATTTTATACTTTCAAATACAAGAAAAGGCTTGATAAAGTAATATTACTAAAACAGGGAACGAAAGTCAACAATTAAAGGTGTGAAAACAACTGCCCCATGTAAAGTTAACCAAAGAGTTAGAGAAACTTTTAATAGATGCAAAGTCTCCATTAGAATGAAAATAGAAACATAGATATTATCCAAAAGGAAACATTTTTGGCTAATATCAATCCAATATTTATATCGGAACGGGAAATTACTATTATTTAATACTGACAAGTTTTTTTTTTTAAACAACCTAATGCAGAATGATGAACTTAACTTGTTTACTGATTTGCTGAATGTATTATTGTTGTAGATAGAGGTTGAAAAAAGTCAAGTTATATATATACGGTATATAATGCTCTACGTATGCTCCCTTATGTATCCACAGCTTCAAACCACGTGGTGTAGAGAGCCTGAAGGATTCTTACATAACAAAACTCTACTGGTTGCAAACCAAGCAATTCTTATAGATAATTATATGGCATCCAATGATAGTACGGCCTAGATAAGCTTTTTTTTATAATGCTCTGTGTGAATCAGATTGATTTTATTGCCCTCAATAAAGTGTCTGCTTACAAGGTCAAAACATTCTTGACTGGGAATCACAACCAGTTTTCAATACTAATTCCTTACAAATTTAATTTGGTTTATTTATATAGAGCCAACTGGCTGCACATGTAGTTCCAAGATGCTTTGAAATAAAAAGCAGGGGGGAAAAAAATCAATTCAATCCCATCTTACAGAGAGATATAGAAGTCACATAAATACACTCCAATTGATCTTAGTTGTCAAATGATGCACTCAAGTCCAGCTCGTTATTTAGATTAGTGAAAACGCTCTATCTAATGAACGCAGCAGATTACATTGAGTCTTTCACTCTGAGCCTTCACTCCTCCTGGTTAAGCGTGGTGCGACAGTGGACAGTCACAATTTGTCATTGATTTGGAAAAAAAATACTTATGCTGAGCATGCATATGGCGACAGTGAAGAGGAAAATTCTTCACTAACAGGAAAAAATCCAGCTTGATGCAAAGGGCCATTTGTAAAGATTTACCAGGGGTTTAAGAAGAGAGAGCATGCATATACAAAGAGCCCAAATACACAGATTGAGAAGTTATTTCTAATAAATAAATAAATAAAAGGTAATAGCAGCACTAGCTTTTTTAGTGGCTTCATCTACGAAGGAAATCATAAAGACAGACACTCTTCACAGAACATTGATTGAAAAGCCGCTCAGAAACAACAACAACAACAAAAAAATCTTGAACAGTTTTCCGCAAGGTTATCTGATGGAAATTATGAATCTAAACTTTCTAACAATTGCACAAAAACAAACTGTAACATAGTGAAATGCATGCGGCTATGCAATCATCTCAACAAAAACCTTTGTTGAGCATTTAAGCAGAACAAACAGTTTTTGATTGTTATTATGACAAAAACGAATCAAACAGGAAAGAGGAAACTAGTCACTACGCCTCACAGTTAAACAAACACACTCTTCCCATTTCCAGCTCATACAGTAAATACCCCTGCAGCACCCTCTGGTACATTTGACAGCATCAAACACGGCTCAGCTTTTGTTCTCACGTCAAAAGGACCACACATAAAGCTTTTCTGCTTAAACTGTGTACGAGTGGGAGCTGGAGAGACACTAAGTGGGTGTGCCATGTGGAGCTGGCTGGCACAGACAGAGCTGAGAGGAGAAATAGTGTACAACAACAGAAAGGGATCGTCACCACTTCCTACAAAATACTCCATTAGTGTGGGTGTGCCTTTAGCCCTACTACCAGAACTGGACAGATAATTTGCTTAAACTAAAAAATAAAACACACGGGGAAGTGTACTCTCAGAGACGGACGGATGAGAGAAAATGAATCGGGTTAAATGATAGTGGTTTTCCTCCACCACCCAGTTACATTAACATAGGGAGTGATGAAGAAACAGAAACACAAACATAAACTACCAGACAGGTGTTTGCTTTAAGGTCTGATCAGCAGGTTTAACTGCCTACTTTTAATGTAAAGAACTTTTCAGGCTTATATTTGCAAAGATGAGTTAGACAACTGAATCTTCATTTGAGCTTAACTTCCCTTTTTGCAAACTCTAAGCTATTCTAGCTGTACGTAAGCACATTTAAAAACATTTCCTAATGCTGTACCTTTTCCAGTAAACGGAGGTAAGGGGTCACTAGCACTAGCTTTAGTCCAACTATGGCTCCTGCTCCATTTCCCTGGATACTTTCCCACCTTTGCCTAATTTTCTCCTCTCCATGTCAGATGTTCAGTTAGTCCTCTGCCCCCTTTAGCAATAATAGGTTGTTCCAGGTTGTGATCACCATAGAACCAGACTAAGCAGCTAGTAGGTTCACAGTAATGTACAGTTCCTTCAACAGGTCCAGGTCCCAGCATGGCGGGGAGTGCATAGAAAGCATATTCATAGCGAAAAAGTGGCCTCTGTATGAGGTCTCTCACCTGATCCATCATAAGCAATTTGCACAGCGGGAGAAAAGCTCCACTCCTTTCATTTCACCATGTCATCACATAGAAGGAGCTTGTAACTGCTGCTTGTTGGTTACAACTCAACATGGTGGACTTGGATTTTATGGAGTAAGTCACTGAGCTTTATTTATTACAGAAAGCCAAACAGTGGCGCCGGCGTCCATCAGATCCTTCAGAAATAGTCCCAATTCGGGATTCTAGGAGCTACGGCTGGATCAAGGTCTCTTCATCATAGTACTTCTGTCTGACCAGGACCTGAAACCATTATCCCGCTTGGGTAAGGATTAGCTAAACAACAGAGGTAAGGTGAGGCGGCGCTCCGGAGCTCAGATAATAGCAGCAGGGGATCGGAGCAGGAAGCTGGTTTTGCACCAAGTACACAGTAAAATTTGCAGTGTTAAAGCAACACTTTAAGAGTGCATTTGGTACCACTCGGAATTAGTGTTAATTAGAACTCTATGTACTGTATATCTTACTCCAGTGGTTGTTGTAATAACTCTAATAGAGTCACTGTACTTTAACACTACATATTTAACACTGTGGGATTTACTGTGTAACTTGTGGTCCTGTTTACCAATGAGGGGAGATTGCAGTAGAGGTTGATAGATGAATGTGACTGCCACCGTAATGCAGATGCTGCACCAGCCTGTTGTGGTGAAGAGGGATGCGAAATGACAGAGTCCTCAATTTACCAGTGGGGCTATAGGCGCACCCTCATCTATGGTCATGACATCTAGACCATGACCCAAAACACAAGGTCCCATATACAAGCAGCTGAAATGAGCTCCCTCTGCTGGGTGGCTGCGCTCTCCCTTATGCTAAGTTCAGACCGCATGCTACAGAAGCAGCAAAAATGCAAGTTTAGCTCTGAGGCTCAGCTGAAGCATCTTTGCTGCTCTAGCTGCACGGTCAAAAAGTGGGTCTTTTGCAAGTGGGCGGAGCTACCCTATTCTTCCCCCTATCTTCGCCTGTAACAATGGCAGTTGAAATCGAAATAGTCACTTGGATTATTTTAATAAATAATGCTACGTTCAGACCACAAGGGCTGGAAGCAGCAAAAAAGCTTCTGCGGCTTCATTCTTTATGCTTGTATACATTGAGGCGAAGTGTGTCCAGATGCGTCTGATGCTTCTGCTGCTCCTGTGTTGAATAGCAGAGAGCGGCTTTGCTATAGTTGCTGTTATATGTGGGCAAAAAGTAGTTTTAATATGTTTTTAAGTGAGAAGGTCCGCCTGAAAACATCTGTGCAGTCAGTTCATTAAGATTACATCCCTGCTTTCAAATATTATTTCGCTGTCTGAGCCGCTCAGATCCCCGTACACCGGCGGTGCGCTGTCACTGCGTTCCTGTTCAACAGCAGCCTCTGACCCGGTCGACTCTTGGAGAATATCCGCTGCTGTTCGTGGCGGCTTGAAGGAGATGTTAGCGGTTTTCATGTACGTAATCCAAACTGCAGGCACCAGAATACTAAAAGTACACATATTTTGCTGGAAGATTTCGACATTTTAGGTTAATTCAGTTGTTAATAAACTGGAGTGACCATAGTTCTCTGCATCAGCAGAGATTCGTGTCAGCCATTGACTTTGCATTTAAACTAACTGCTTCTGATGCCTCT